CTACAGAGAGTAGTGCGTACGACCCAGTACATCACTGGGGCCAAGATTCCTGCCATCCAGGACCTCTATACCAGGCGGTGTCAGAGGAAGGCCATCAAAATTGTCAAAGACTCCAGCCACCTTAGTAATAAACTGTTCTCTCTGCTACCGCACGGCAAGCGGTACCGGAGCTCCAAATCTAGGTCCAAAAGGGTTCTTAACAGCTTCTACCCCTAAGCCAAAAAGACTCCTGAACAGCTAATCATGGCTACCCGGACTATTTGCACTTCTTTTTTTTTCCTTCTTTTTTTTAAATGGTTGGTTAAGGGCTTCTAAGTAAGCATTTCACTGTAATGTCTGCACCTTTTGTATTCGGCGTATGTGGCAAATAAAATTTGATTTGATTTGATTTGACACAAACATATAGTGTGATCAGTATAACATAAAGGTTTTGCGAAATGCCAAAAAGCAGGACTACATTAATTTTCAGATCTCATTCACCCCATCAATACATCGGATGGGTTCATCGGGGTATCGTTCGGCGCGCGAAGACCTGCCTTCTTCGTGGCCAATTATGTGTGAATCACATCTCACTGACCTAGAAATGCCCTGGACATGATCAAAACAAACCCATAGTTTCCCAGGGTTAAGTTTCTTATTTACAGTTAGTTAGCTACCACACGACTCTTTGCAAGCAAACATAATGCTGCCTCCAAAACTAACGTTTACATTTTGACTTTTGTGACGTCTCTTGACATTCTAAGTGTACTACAAAAATATTCAGAAATCATAATCTAGGCTCCATTTTGTACTATAGATATTCTGATGTACCCAGGCAAACAAACAGTGAACTGTCTGCGTACAAGATCTCCAAGCAGCCACGTTAAACCGTCTCTCTGTAAGCTTAGAGCAGTCATAATCACACTGGGGGGAATAAGACCCCAGATTCACACAAGTAAGTGGAACTTAATTGTTTTTTCACACACTTTCCTCTCTGCACACATTCTGCCAGCTAGGTACACGTTTGGGGTGGATATCATTCTGTGTGGCAGAGGTGTCTACAGATACGCGTATATGTAGACACCTCATAATTCCACCACCTTTGGAAACCATGAATATGGTTGAGCAGATCTGTCGGTTCAAAGAGGAAGACCAAGCACACCTGGTACAGGGGTATGCCTGTAAAAAGTACCTTTGGCGCGACTGGATGAAGGACTATATCAGGTGAATACAGAGGGACGTTCGCCAGTTATCCGATGAGCTGAAGCAGAAAGAGCGCCTCGTTACTAAGTTCGCCGATGTTGCTTCGACCCAGGCTAAACACATCTCAGCACTGAATTTCTCTATCATTCATGGTAATGGAGAGTTGGGCGATGCCGACCTGTTTCACTCCTCAGAGCAGTTGGATTGTTCCACTCCGCTCAACCACAGAAACTGGGCCAGTGTCTTTAGGCAAAAGGGCCGTAGGGAAACGCAGTCCTTCCTGCCTTGGGATCTGCTCCACTTGACAAACAGTGGACTGACACTCTCAGGAGCGATGCAAGGCAAGCAGTCACTACCGTCATGCAACTGGGCGATAACATCAGTCCCTCTACCCATGCCCACCTGTCCGGTCCGCCTTCAGCTGGAAGCCAGACAATGCCCTCTGAACCCAACAGGGGACCACCACACCACCGGACTACCGTGACATCAGACCTCCGAGCCAACGAGGACCTCGTCGCTCCCCACAACAACCCTCCTCTCCGAGGCAGCGGTTCTCTCGGCAACAGCACTCTTCGCTGTTACTAAGTTCTCCGATGTTGCTTCGACCCAGGCTAAACACATCTCGGCGCTGAATTTTTCTATCATAGTAAGACACGTTTCTATTGAGGATGCCAGACCCTTGTGCTTTTCTGGAGTGAAAATTCATGATATTTTAGTGATGCTTCCGACAATCCAGAAGCAGTTACCTGAGGCTGACTCCGATGATCCATGTGGGATCGAATGTAGCTCCAAGTGCCTGAAACATGACCTCATGGAACGCAAAGTATGCAAATAAGCGGCTACTTAGCTCTGGTTTACCCTCAATAGGCCATGAGTCTAACCGCTGCAGCATAGAGGGCTGCATCTGCCGGCCCCGACAGAGATCATTGCAGCGCAGTCTGCATTTTACATGCTGAGGGCGGCAGCGAGTGGTCAGACAGACAATTTATTATATATTTTTGTCGTGCAGATTATTTGGAAACGGTATTTCTGTTTTGTATGTGTTAGCCTACCTATTGTATTAAAAGCACCTCTTTGTCATATTATTCTCACACTCTGGATTCGCTACTTCAGGTTCAGTAACCTACCTCTCCTCTTCTAGTTGGGCGTGCATGATAAAGTGTGCCTATACACTGAGTGTACAAAAAATTAGGAACACCTGCTCTTTCCATGACATAGACTGACCAGGTGGATCCAAGTGAAAGCTATGATCCCTTATTGATGTCACTTGTTAAATCCACTTCAATCTGTGTAGATAAAGTGGAGGAGACAGGTTAAATAATTATTTTTATGCATTGAGACATGGATTGTGTATGTGTGCCGTTCAGAGGGTGAATGGGCAAGACAAAATATTTAAGTGCCTTTGAACTGTGTATGTTAGTTGGTGCCAGGCGCACCTGTTTGAGTGTGTCAAGAACTGCAACGCTGCTGTGTTTTTTACGCTCAACAGTTTCACATGTGTATCAAGAATGGTCCACCACCCAAAGGACATCCAGCCAACTTGACACAACTGTGGGAAGATTTGGAGTCAACATGGGCCAGCATCCCTGTGGAACGCTTTTGACACCTTATAGAGTCCATGCCCTGACGAATTGAGGCTGTTCTAAGAGCAAAAGGGGGTACAACTGAATATTAGGAAGGTATTCCTAATGTTTTGTACACTCAGTGTATGTGTGGAATCAATGAAATAGAGTAGGCTGCCTATGCATGGGCGGAGAATCACGTGGCAGTTATCTTTCCAAGGAAATTAACTTAAATATGATTAGGCATTAGTTTAGTACAGTGTCTGCAAATAAATATTGATCATGGACAGACGTGTAGGGCGCTCAACCAACATGAGTCGAGGTGCAATCAAAAAAAAAAGTGTAATCATTGAAAAGGAAAGGTAGGTGAGCGAATGTTGCGCCTTCTCCTTTTCAATAAATATTGATTACCCATTAATTTGTCTCTGCCTGCAAATATTCCCGGTCCTAAAAGGTAGGCTATATTCTATAATCAAAACGTAGCTCAAGAGAAAGTGCAACTCTTCGCTCTGATCACTATTTCCGCTTCAAGTTCAGTAGCCATGCCTCTCCTCTACTAGTCGGGCATGTGAGATCAGGTGCGTGCGTGGTCTCAATTAAAGGTTGAGTAAGCGATATGACTTAGATGCAGAAAGTACATTTCCGCAACAACTAAGTTCGTTGAAGTGTGAGGCTCAACTTCTCCACTGTTTTGGTCCCGTGGCTAACACGCTGTGAACAGCGTGATGCGAACACGTGCACATGTGCAGATACTGTGTGTGACTGAGAGCAAAGTCTTGCATCTCACTCATCTCAATATCTGCGGTCCTCCTCGTGACAATGTCATTTCACGGAGTCTACCTTTAAATAGAGTAGGCTATATGCATAGGTGGAGAAGCACAGGGCAGTTATCTTTCCAAGGAAAGGAACTTCCTAAATATGATTAGGCTTAAGTTTACTACATTGCCTGGAAATAAATATTAATCACCCATATTTGTCCCTGTCTGAAAATCGTCCCGTTCCTTAAAGGTAGGCTATATGCAAAACGTAGTTCAAGAGAAAATGCAAGTGTCCACTCTCTCTCCAACTTTGCTCTCTTCAAACCATGTCTAGCCTATTGGCTGATATAGGCCAGTAATATCGATAATGGGTCACGTGAGAATCTCTGGTAATTTAACCTATTTCTTAGTTTATTTTGGAGCATTTTGATGTTGCCTATAGGGCACAAAATTGCTGGGACCATGGCTGGCAAGCGAGCTGCGTCCCACATGCAGACCTCTACTTCAGCAGACTCTTCCAAATAAATCACTGGCTGAAAATGTATTGTGCCTCAGTGGAAGTGGCATTTATTGACAACTTTCACCGGTTCTGAAAGCAGAGGGATTATTTCAGTGAGGCCGGAATACATATCAACTACAGCAGAGCACAGATGCTCACTTCAAGCATTAAACAGTCGGTGACTCAGTGACACTCTTACAGCCCAAGCCGTCAGGTCATTCCCACTATTCCTACTCAGTCCCATGTACATTCTGTTAGACATTCTCTCAGTTCCAGGGATAATAAAATCTGTAATCTAATTCCCATTGAGCTACCTCCCCCCCATTAGTACTGTTAGCTCTGCTAGTTTGCCCCTGTGTTTCTATTAATTATTGAGGTTGGAATATTGAAAATGATGATAATGCCCTTTTAGTGTAAGAGCTATTTGAAAAGACTGCCTGACATTTCAGCCTGTTTTGGTGGGATGGAGTTTTGGCCTGCCTGGTGATACATTAGTTAATAGACCAATAAGAAAGAGAGTTCCAAACCTCTCTGTCAATAACAGCTAGTTTGAAGTTTTCAAAATTCTTGCTTGAAAAATTGCTCTCTGCTAAGAAGCAATTTTTGTTTCCTTTTGACTATTTTAATTGAAAACAATCACAGTATGGTACTTAATTGTTAGAAATAAATTATTTGATATTGAGATAAAAATGGCTGCGTTGGACCTTTAATGTGCAAAGTAAATGTTGGACATTTGGGTGTGGGATACAAATCCTGACATTTTAGTGTGTTCAGAAACATCGTTAAAAGACCTCAATGTCATAAAAAGTTCCACTTCATGATTATAATGTTTACAGAAGTGACCCAATCTCTCAGTATCTCGGTTCCTAAGCAATTTGAGCTCCTAGTTATTAATGTTGTTATTTCCAATAATGTTTATTTCTCTGTTGCAGGGGTCTATCGCCCTACTGTCAATGCTGTCTCAGAATTACAAGCTCTCTTCATGGCCTCTGAAATAGTGATACTGGGGATCTGAATCTTAATTGGTTAACTTCCTCATTAGATTGTCTTAAATCAGCCTATATTGATCTGAACTTAGCCCAATGGATTTCCGAGCCCACACGTCTGAATGTAAAGAATCCTACTAAATCAACCCTGATTGATCTCAACCTTACAAATAATCGTCATAAATACACAACTTGTGGAGTTTTTGCTATGGACCATTGCCCCATAGTCTGTGTCAGAAACACAAAGTTTCCCAAGACTAAACCCGCCTTAACACTTACACTGTAAAACCAAATCTTTAGGATCTGAACACATAACTAAACACTTTTCTGTAACATGACCTTGACCATTCAGGCTTGTCTAGTGTTAATAATATTCCGGAAGCTGAACTGGCTCTAGAACAATTTTCGAGTATATTTATTGATGTATCTGACAAACATGATCCTATGAAGAGATTAGGAATTAAAGACAGACTCAACCCTTGGTTCATGCCTGAACTTGCTGAGTTGTTCCAGCTAAAGAATAAAGCTTGCTCTGAGGCCAGACACACTAGTAGCTCTGCTGTCTGGCTTACCTTCAGGCAACTTAGAAACAAATGTACTGCATCCATAAAAAGGGCTAAGTCAAGTTATTTCTTAAAGATGCACTATGCAGTAATTGCTCCACCATTTCCTGGTTGTGAAAATTCTAATAGTTTGTCTAATTTCAGTTTATGTGACAAAACAAGCAAGTATAGTGTAGAATCACTGTACCATCTAAACCGCAGTGAACTTTCTTTTCCATAACCAAACATTTTGTATTTTCAGCTGTTTGAAGCTGGTGTACAAGACCTAAAGTATAAGACGCAAAAACAAAACTTAAAAACTGGAAATAGTGCACAAAGAACAGATCTACCGCTTCTTAGACTTCCTTTCATTGAGAATGACAGATTTATAACTCATATTTCTATGTGAATTTTGTTGGGTTGCCCAAAAAGTGACATATTGTAGCTTTAACACTAGAATCGCTGGGCATCGACGGACATTAATTATGACTTCAACATTCTAACAGTGTAATTAATAAATTTCATATTTGCTTTTGCAAAAATAATCAGTTGGATGTGTTTATGAAGGCCTTGGGTAACATTAGAATACTCCTTTTATTTTATTTCAAATAACACAATAGCATTTTCATTAGTTTATGTTTATGCTATATGTAAATAAATAGAAACAGCAAAGTTCAAGTGTTCAATAAATGTTATTCATTTAGTGACTTCTTACAACTATGAAACAGAAAGCATACTGTATGTGTTGAAACATGGTAACAGCTTATTTTTATAATGACTAAATTAATGAAAATACCCCAACCACCAAGACGCACGTTCAAGATGCAGGGTCAAAAATAGTTAATTATTATTATTTGTTTGGTTGTAATGCGTAATAGTCTCCGGTTTTCCCTTTATTGTGGCCTGTCATCTTGTCATTCTTCAGCACCTTTGTGGAGTACAACAGCTGTGCAGATGCCTTATTTTGGGCAGAGGGCGGGAGCTCCCGTCTTTGTTCATGGTCAGACTTGTTTTCTTTGCAAGCAAGTTGTTTGCCAAGACAGTGAAGTGAAGACATTTTCCATGGTGACATTTCTCCCCTTGCCAACATAAGGTTCCACAAGTCACCACATTCTCCGACACTCGCTCACCTGCTGCCCGATACTGAAAGCCGTTCAGCATGTAATCCAAGATAGGCCAGATTAGACTGATAAGACTGCTTTGATTCGATGGACTGATAAAGGGTACATACCTTTTTAAGATAAAAATTAGAATAGACCAATACAATAATAGAATGGCCAGTCCCCTGTTCTTCATTCACAATTGGTGATTACATAATTGTGCATCGTTCGCGTCCCCTCGCTCATCAACTCACCCATTCTCCCCCTTTCTCTCCAACATACTTTACTTAATTTATGTAATCTGTTATATGTGTGAAATTAGTTTCGTAATAGTTTTGGTTCAGTTTCAAGGCAATTATCGGGGTGATTATCGGCTAGGCGCTGCACTTTCAACTGTCGGAAGAAGGAGCGGAGCAGGCCCTACTGTTGGGAGAAGGAGGGGCAACGGGGAAAACCATTAAAATGTCCTCCTAAAACGAGTTATAACTCCAGTTCTGTTGGTGATATTAAGATTCTAACACTGACAGTGAATTATATAGACGTATTTAGAAAAAGTCAAGGACGGAAGGGGGCATGACTTAAAAAATGGCAGAGTAACAAAAACAATCACGAGGAGTCAAAATGACTGCTTTAGTGGTTTAGTGTTAAATGCCATTTCTGACCCTCGTGAGGCAATTTCTAAAACGAAGCAGCCACAACTCTCTGCCCAATAAGGTTGTATTTAATTCCAGCACTATAACAGACAATTTAAATAGGTGATGCATTTAATCATAATTTTATTGCAGTAGGCCATCTATTTGAAAAGGGGAATTCTGAAAGGACTCATAACGGTACATGTTTATCTCTGAGGTCACTACTAAGGAAGTTCTATATGCTCTTTTAGTTATAGATGTTAAAAGGTCCACTGGCACAGACATGATTGATCCGTGTCTTCTACAGCTTAATGCACCTTTGATTGTGGAGCCATTGACAAATATTTTTTATTTATCCGTTCTATCAGGTATTATTCCTGAGGTGTGGAAATTTAGAAGAATATCAACATATCTCAAGACTTTCATGTCAGGATAAAATATTTGAACTCTTGATCAATTCTAAGCTGTGGCCCTTTTTAGATAGAAACGGATTCTAAATGCTCACTAGTCAGGCTTTAGGCCAGGACAGAGCAACGTCTTGGCTGCTTACATGATGTAGCAAACTCCCTGGATAGGAAGCAGCATTGTGCTGCCCTCTATATTGATCTCTCTAAACCATTTGATACTGTCGATCATGCACTTCTGCTACAGAGGTTATACAGTTTACATACACTTGGTTGGAGTCATTAAAACTTGTTTTTCAACCACTCTACACATTTCTTGTTAACAAACTATAGTTTTGGCAAGTCGGTTAGGACATATACTTTGTGCATGACGCAAGTAGTTTTCCAACAATTGTTTACAGAAAGATTATTTCACTTATAATTCACTGTATCACAATTCCAGTGGGTCAGAAGTTTACATACACTAAGTTCACTGTGCCTTTAAACAGCTTGGAAAATTCCAGAAAATGATGTCATGGCTTTAGAAGCTTCTGATAGGCTAATTGACATCATTTGAGTCAATTGGAGGTGTACCTCTGGATGTATTTCAAGGCCTACCTTCAAACTCAGTGCCTATTTGCTTGACATCATGGGAAAATCAAAAGAAATCAGCCAAGACCTCAGAAAAAAGTTTGTAGACCTCCACAAGTCTGGTTCATCCTTGGGAGCAATTTCCAAACGCCTGAAGGTACCACGTTCATCTGTAAAAACAATAGTACGCAAGTATAAACACCATCGGACCACACAGCCGTCATACTGCTCAGGAAGGAGTCACGTTCTGTCTCCGAGAGATGAACGTACTTTGGTGCGAAAAGTGCAAATCAATCCCAGAACAACAGCAAAGGACCTTGTGAAGATGCTGGAGGAAACATTTTACTGTGGATACAGATACTTTTGTACCTGAGTCCTATATCAACATAACCTGAAAGGCCGCTCAGCAAGAAAGAACCCACTGCTCCAAAACCGCCATGAAAAAGCCAGACTACGGTTTGCAACTGCACATGGGGACAAAGATTGTACTTTTTGTAGAAATGTCCTCTGGTCTGATTAAACAAAAATAGAACTGTTTGGCCATAATGACCATCGTTATGTTTGGGGGAAAAGGGGGGGGGGGGAGGTCGCTTGCAAGCCGAAGAACACCATCCCAAATGTGAAGCACGGGGGTGGCAGCACCATGCTGTGGGGATGCTTTGCTGCAGGAGGGACTGGTGCACTTCACAAAAAAATACTCTGTCATTTGTAACAAGTTTCAGTCAATTCTTTTTGGTAGCATTTCTATGTTGAAAATAAAAATAATAATTTGGTGCATTTTTCCCCATATTACATTTACATTTTACATATTAGTCATTTAGCAGACGCTCTTATCCAGAGCGACTTACAGGAGCAATTAGGGTTAAGTGCCTTGCTCAAGGGCACATTTACGTCATTTAGCAGACGCTCTTAAACAGAGCGACTCACAAATTGGTGCATTCACCCTATAGGCAGTGGGATAACCACTTTACAAATTTTTTTTTTGGGGGGGGGGGGGGGGGGGGGGTAGAAGGATTACTTTATCCTATCCCAGGTATTCCTTAAAGAGGTGGGGTTTCAAATGTCTCCGGAAGGTGGTGAGTGACTCCGCTGTCCTGGCGTCGTGAGGGAGCTTGTTCCACCATTGGGGTGCCAGAGCAGCGAACAGTTTTGACTGGGCTGAGCGGGAACTATGCTTCCGCAGAGGAAGGGGAGCCAGCAGGCCAGAGGTGGATGAACGCAATGCCCTCGTTTGGGTGTAGGGACTGATCAAAGCCCGAAGGTACAGAGGTGCCGTTCCCCTCACTGCTCCATAGGCAAGCACCATGGTCTTGTAGCGGATGCGAGCTTCAACTGGAAGCCAGTGGAGTGTGTGGAGGAGGGGGGTGACGTGATATTCCATCCAGTGCGCTTAATATTTTGTAATATATTACATTTGATCTTTCTTGAACAATTTCCTCCATTTCTTATTGTTTTTTCCTCTAACTTATTCTGTGCCTCTATGGTACAGTTTTTATTACTATATACAGTGGGGGAAAAAAGTATTTATTCAGCCACCAATTGTGCAAGTTCTCCCACTTAAAAAGATAAAGAGGCCTGTAATTTTCATAATAGGTACACGTCAACTATGACAGACAAAATGAGAAGAAAAAAACCCCAGAAAATCACATTGTAGGATTTTTAATGAATTCATTTGCAAATTATGGTGGAAAATAAGTATTTGGTCAATAACAAAAGTTTCTCAATACTTTGTTATATACCCTTTGTTGGCAATGACACAGGTCAAATGTTTTCTGTAAGTCCTCACAAGGTTTTCACACACTGTTGCTGGTATTTTGGCCCATTCCTCCATGCAGATCTCCTCTAGAGCAGTGATGTTTTGGGGCTGTCGCTGGGCAACACAGACTTTCAACTCCCTCCAAAGATTTTCTATGGGCCACTCCAGGACCTTGAAATGCTTCTTACGAAGCCACTCCTTCGTTGCCCGGGCGGTGTGTTTGGGATCATTGTCATGCTGAAAGACCCAGCCACGTTTCATCTTCAATGCCCTTGCTGATGGAAGGAGGTTTTCACTCAAAAGCTCACGATACATGGCCCCATTCATTCTTTCCTTTACACGGATCAGTCGTCCTGGTCCCTTTGCAGAAAAACACCCCCAAATCATGATGTTTCCACCCCCATGCTTCACAGTAGGTATGGTGTTCTTTGGATGCAACTCAGCATTCTTTGTCCTCCAAACACGACGAGTTGAGTTTTTACCAAAAAGTTCTATTTTGGTTTCATCTGACCATATGACATTCTCCCAATCCTCTTCTGGATCATCCAAATGCACTCTAGCAAACTTCAGACGGGCCTGGACATGTACTGGCTTAAGCAGGGGGACACGTCTGGCACTGCAGGATTTGAGTCCCTGGCGGCGTAGTGTGTTACTGATGGTAGGCTTTGTTACTTTGGTCCCAGCTCTCTGCAGGTCATTCACTAGGTCCCCCCGTGTGGTTCTGGGATTTTTGCTCACCGTTCTTGTGATCATTTTGACCCCACGGGGTGAGATCTTGCGTGGAACCCCAGATCGAGGGAGATTATCAGTGGTCTTGTATGTCTTCCATTTCCTAATAATTGCTCCCACAGTTGATTTCTTCAAACCAAGCTGCTTACCTATTGCAGATTCAGTCTTCCCAGCCTGGTGCAGGTCTACAATTTTGTTTCTGGTGTCCTTTGACAGCTCTTTGGTCTTGGCCATAGTGGAGTTTGGAGTGTGACTGTTTGAGGTTGTGGACAGGTGTCTTTTAAACTGATAACAAGTTCAAACATGTGCCATTAATACAGGTAACGAGTGGAGGACAGAGGAGCCTCTTAAAGAAGAAGTTACAGGTCTGTGAGAGCCAGAAATCTAGCTTGTTTGTAGGTGACCAAATACTTATTTTCCACCATAATTTGCAAATAAATTCATAAAAAATGTGTTATTATCTATGGTTAGATCTAGTATGTGTAGATCTATGTTGGCCGGTGCGGTTCCCAATCAGAGGCAGCTGTTGCTCATTGTCTCTGATTGGGGACCATACTTAGGTAGCCTTTTGGCACCTGTTAGTTGTGGGATCTTGTTCCGTGTTATGGTATGTTTGTGTGCTACCTTGGACTTCACGTTTCGTTTGTTGTTTTTGTAGTGTGTTTATTCGCTTAATAAACATGTATGCTTATCTCGCTGCGCCTTGGTCCGTCTCGTCTGTAAACGATCGTGACAGAAGATCCCACCAAAATAGGACCAAGCAGCGTGTTCAGGAGCAAACGCCGGGAATTAATCAGGAGGTTACTTTAGTAGATGTCCTCCTCCAGGAGGAGGAGGCCGTCCGCTACCGGACGGCGATGAAGGAGGATGCCCAGGTAGGAGAAGTGAAACGGCGCCAACAGTGCCGACGACGGAGACCCGAGAGGCAACCCCAATAAAAAAAAATTGGGGGGCACATGGTGTGGACGACGAGGCAGCAGGAGGCAGCGACAGGGCGATTCTGCAGGTTAGGAGGCCACCAGGTTACGGGGGCTATTGGTTCAGAGGGAGCAGGAGTTATTGGGTCAGAGGGAGGAGCTACAGGAGGCTATAAGGGAGAAGGAGAGTGTAGAGGCACGGCGAGAGGAGCTGGTTAGGCAGCAGAAGGAGCGAGGGTTTATAAGGGAACCCAGTCCCGCTCCTCGCACCAAGCAAGTGGTGCGTGTCGCCAGTCTGGTCCGGCCCGTTCCTGATCCCCGCACTAAGCCAGTGGTGCGTGTTCCCAGTACAGCCCGACCCATTCCTGCTTCCCGCACAAGGCCAGAGGTGTGTGTTCCCAGTACGGTCCGGCCCATTCCTGCTCCCCGCACTAAGCCAGTGGTGCGCGTCGCCAGCCCGGCCCGGCCTGTTCCTGGTCCTCGCACCAAACTGGTGGTGCGCGTCGCCAGCCCGGTCCGGCCAGTTCCTGACCCTCGCACCAAGCCTGTGGTGCGCGTTGCCAGCCCGGCCCGGCCTGTTCCTGACCCTGGCACCAAGCCAGTGGTGCGCATCGTCAACCCGGTCCGGCCCGTTCCTGCTCCCCGCACCAAGCCAGTGGTGCGTGTGTCCAGTCCGGCACGGCCCGTGCCTGTTCCACCGGTTCCTGGTCCGGCACCGGTCAGCTGCTCCACTCCGGAGCCAGAGCAATCCGCTCCACCGGGGTCCGGTCCAACTCCGGTCAGCGGATCCACTCCGGAGCCAGAGCAATCCGCTCCACCGGGGTCCAGTCCAGCTCCGGTCAACCGCTCCACTCCGGAGCCAGAGCAGTCCACTCCACTGGTGCCTGATCCAGCTCCGGTCAGCGGCTCCACTCCGGAGCCAGAGCAGTTCCATCCACCGTCGTCGGGTCCAGCTCCAGTCAGCGGTTCCAGTCCAGACCCAGACAACAGCCCCTCTCCAGGTTCGGGGTCTTCCACACCAGGGTCCAGACAGGGCTTGGTACGTCGTGGGAGGAAGGAGAGGGGAAGCAGCGCGCCGAGGTCCAGACCAAACCAGGGGCGCAACAGGGAGGTGGAGAGTAAGTGGTGGTCACGCCCGGAGCCGGATCCGCCTCTGAGGCGGAATGCCCACCCGGCCCCTACCCTGTTATGTTTATGTGGCGCGGTCGGAGTCCGCACCTTTGGGGGGGGGGTGGGGGTACTGTCACGCCCTGACTCTGAGGACTTGTATTTGTTGAGTCAGGGTGTGTAGCCTTTTGGCACCTGTTAGTTGTGGGATCTTGTTCCGTGTTATGGTATGTTTGTGTGCTACCTTGGACTTCACGTTTCGTTTGTTCTTTTTGTCGTGTGTTTATTCGCTTAATAAACATATATGCTTATCACGCTGCGCCTTGGTCCGTCTCGTCTGTAAACGATCGTGACAGTGGGAGAACTTGCACAATTGGTGGCTGACTAAATACTTTTTTTCCCCACTGTATGCAGACATTTGCGCAATCTTGAACAAACTTTTTCCCCCTGGCACATTTTCTGGCTGGCGCTCGCTTTGCCTTCTTTGTTGTTTTCCTTACAAGTAATAACTGTGGACATGTGTAAGTGCCTTATTTCCTGTATATCGTTGTCGTTTCTACTGTAGCATACAGTATGTATGTATGTATGTATGTATGGAGCATAATGTATTTACAGTTTTATTCACGTTTTCAAGTGCTGGTAACAAATAATGCATTCCGATTATTGCATAGATTTTAATGGACACCTATGATGTGTGTAAAATACTTTTTTAAAGGTTGTACTGATTATGAAGAGCTAATGCTAAGCTATTTGCCAGCAATGTGTGGCACCATGGTTGTTGACATTATACAATGCATTCTGGGTGTCACATAAACGCCTGTCAGACCAATGATGTTATAACAAAATGAGGTGACGGATGGTTCTGTGATGAGTACTGAGTATACGAAAAGGCAGGACGCAGACGCAGGAATTTATAAGGTCAAGGTTTACTTCACAAAGTAAAATAACAAAGATAGAGTAAATGACACGAAGCAAAACAATCACACACAACATCCTACAGAACAGTCCAGGGCTAAATAGGGGTGGTGATGAGATGATGAGGTGCAGGTGCGCTGGAGGTGATTAGGGTGCGTTGGGTTTCCATTCCGATGTTGCCGAGGTGGTGCGCTCAGACCGGTGGCTCAGTAGACCGGCAAATCCGAGCGCCGCAACGGGAGGAGACGTGACATCAGGAACCACCGGTCTGAGGAGAGACACATGAAAAGTGGGTGAGATACGGTAGTGAGGGGGAAGGAGCAGCCGGTATGATACCTCATTTATCCGCCGGAGGACCTTAAACGGCCCCACAAACCGGGGGCTCAGCTTCTAGCAGGGCAGGCGGAGAGGGAGGTTTTTTGTGGACAGCCAGACACGATCCCCAGGCTGGAATACAAGGGCCTCACTGTGGTGGCGGTCGGCTTGGTCCTTCTGCCGACGAATGGCCCTCTGGAGATGGACATGGGCGGCGTCCCAGAGCTGTCCGGCCCTGTGGAACCACTCGTTGACAGCGGGCGCATCGGTCTGGCTGGGTGTCCAAGGGGCCAGGGCTGACTGGTACCCCAGGAAGCACTGGAAGGGAGTGAGCCCCATGGAGGAGTGAACGAGGGAGTTCTGGGCATATTCTGCCCAGGGAAGAAATCTCGCCCACTCACCCTGCCGGTCCTGACAGTGGCAACGAAGAAACCGCCCCAGCTCCTGGTTCAAGCGTTCCACCTGCCCATTCGACTGAGGCCTATACCCGGAAGTGAGGCTGGCTGTGGCCCCGATCTACTCCAGGAAAGCCTTCCACACTTGGGAGGTGAATCGGGGGCCCGGTCAGAGACGATGTCCTCCGGAAGTCCATAATGCCGGAAGACCTGTTGGAACAGGACCTCAGTGACCTGGAGAGCAGAAGGAAGACCAGTTAGTGGCAAAGAACGGCATGATTGTGGTGAAGCTGTCAGAACATGGAAGGTCGGTGACAAAGTCTATGGACAGGTGTGACCAAGGTCGCTGACGCACTGGGAGAGGAACTAGTTTGCCTGCTGGGGCATTCCGAGGTGTCTTTGTTTGGGCACATTCGGAACAGGAGTTGACATAGCGGGAGACATCAGAAGTCAAGGTGGGCCACCAGTATTTTTGGGATAGAGAATGCAGGGTGCACATAATACCAGTGTGCCCTGCCGTAAGGGTAGTGTGTGCCCAGATCAGCAGGCGGTCACGGACACTGCTGGGTACATACATGCGCCCCGAAGGGGCGTTGGCAGGCGCTGGGTCCTCCTGAGCTGCCAGGCGGTTGTCTTTATCCACATCCCAAACAACAGGTGCAACGATGAGAGACAAGGTCAGGATAGGACCCTCCAGATCATTCCTTTCTCTGGTATGGTGCATCCTGGAGAGTGCTTCGGCCTTCACATTCTGGGATCCTGGGTGGTAGGATAGAATTGAATTGGAAGCGAGTGAGAAATAGGGCCCATCTGGCTTGACGAGAGTTCATCCGTTTCGCTGCCCGTATGTGCTCCAAATTCCGGTGGTCTGTAAGAATCCGGAATGGATGGACTGCGCCCTCCAGCCAGTGTCTCCATTCCTCCAGAGTGAGGACCACCACCAACAGCTCCCTGTCTCCAACTCCATAGTTATTCACTGCATGGGTAAGCTTTTTAGAGAAAAAGGCACAGGGATAAATTTTTTCTGGCTTACCGTGCCGCTGGGAGAGGACCGCACCCACGCCCTCCTCCGATGCGTCCACCTTCAGGATGAAAGGACGAGTTGGATCTCGGTGTTTTAGGATGGGCGCTGTGGTGAACCTCTCCTTCAGCCTCTTGAAGGCAGCGTCAGCCTCAGGGTTCCAGGCCAGCTTCTGAGGCCCACCCTTAAAGAGAGAGGTGAGCGGGGCGGCTATGGAGTTGAAGGACCTGATGAAAAGCCAGTAGAAATGAGTGAAGCCCAGGAAGCTCTGTAGGCCCTTGATGGTGGTGGGAACTGGCCATGAAATACATCATTCTCTCTACTATAATTCTGACATTTCACATTCTTAAAATAAAGTGGGGATCCTACCTGACCTAAGACAGCGAAGTTTTACTAGGATTAAATGTCAGGAATTGTGAAAAACTGAGTTTAAATGTATTTGGCTAAGGTGTATGTAAACTTTCAACTTCAACTGTATACCTCCAAAATCCAAAATAAAGAAGGAACGAGGTTTAGCCTAAAAACAATCGAAATACCTTTATTCACAGAATAAAATACATACTTTTGTGTCAAGAGCACTGTAAAGGAAAATATAGAGTTAAAGTATAAATGGAAATGCATCAACTCTGTTCTAGCTCAAGCAGGCAAACAAAGCACAGTGCCTTGCAAAAGTATTCAACCCCCTTGGCGTTTTTCCTATTTTGTTGCATTACAAACTGTAATTTAAATTGAGTTTTATTTGGATTTCATGTAATGGACATACACAAAATAGTACAAATTGGTGAAGTGAAATGAAAAAAATAACTTGTTTCATAAAATTCTAAAAAAATTAATAACGGAAAAGTGGTGCATGCATATGTATTCACCCCTTTGCTATGAAGCCCCTAAATAAGATCTGGTGCAACCAATTACCTTCAGACGTCACATAATTAGTTAAATAAAGTCCACCTGTGTGCAATCTAAGTGTCACATGATCTGTCACATGATCTCAGTATATATACGCCTGTTTTGAAAGGCCCCAGAGTCTGCAACACCACTAAGCAAGGGGCACCACCAAGCAAGCGGCACCATGAAGACCAAGGAGCTCTCCAAACAGGTCAGGGACAAAGTTGTGGAGATGTACAGATCAGGGATGGGTTATCAAAAATATTTGCATTGCTTAAAGAAAAAAATAAGCAAACACGTTTGGTGTTCACCAAAAGGCATGTGGGAAACTCCCCAAACATATGGAAGAAGGTACTCTGTTCAGATGAGACTAAAATTTAGCTTTTTGGCCATCAAGGAAAATGCTATGTTTGGCGCAAACCCAACACCTCTCTTCACCCCGAGAATACCATCCCCACAGTGAAGCATGGTTGTGGCAGCATCATGCTGTGAGGATGTTTTTCATCAGCAGGGACTGGGAAACTGTTCAGAATTGAAGGAATGATGGATGGCGCTAAATACAGGGAAATTATTGATGGAAACCTGTTTCAGTCTTCCAGAGATTTGAGATTGGGATGGAGGTTCACCTTCCAGCAAGACAATGACCCTAAGCATATTGCTAAAGCAACACTTGAGTGGTTTAAGGGGAAACATTTAAATGTCTTGGAATGGCCTATTCAAAGCCCAGACCTCAATCCAATTGAGAATATGTGGTATGACTTAAAGATTGCTGTACACCAGCGGAACCCATCCAACTTGAAGGAGCTAGAGCAGTTTTGCCTTGAAGAATGGGCAAAAATCCCAGTGGCTAGATGTTCCAAGCTTATAGAGACATACACCAAGAGACTTGCAGCTGTAATTGCTGCAAAAGGTGGCTCTACAAAGTATTCACTTTGGGGGGTTGAATAGTTATGCACACTGAAATGTTCTGTTTTCTTGTCTTATTTCTTTCACTTTTTATTATATTTTGCATCTTCAAAGTGGTAGGCATGTTGTGTAAATCAAATGATAAAAACTTCCCAAAAATCTATTTTAATTCCAGGTTGTAAGGCAACAAAATAGAAAAAATGCCAAGGGGGGTGAATACTTTCGCAAGCCACTGTAATGTTTTAATCCCTAGTAACGCTAAGATGTGGAGTCTTCCAGGCCAGACATTATGTTATCTTCCTCGGCTTTTGGTAATCAGATGTCAGATGTAAAACACATTGTTAACAATGTGTTGGCCAGGTGTCTCCAACTCTGATTTTGGGAGAGCAACTCGCTCTTTCCAGCCCTGCAGTAACACACCTGATTCAGAAAATATTTGTCCAGACTTAAGACCATGATTCGTTGAATGTGTATTAGTGATGGGCTGGAGCAAAAGCCTGCACACAGTAGCTCTCCAAGACAAGAGTTGGAGAACCCAGAGGGGTATCCTACGAAGCAATCTATATCTACTCAGGGTTTTCTAAAGCTAACCAGCTTCAGTTAGCTTCACATTTCAACTCAGGCTTCATCCATACTACGACGGTGGATTAGCCTGTCGCTAAATCTAGCAGGCTTGTAACTCTAGCAGACTATAACTTACAATATTTTTATGTAATATAAGGCTCAATCCCAATACCCCCCCCCCCCTTAGCCCTCTCCCTTAGCTTTCCCCCTCCGTTTTGCGCAATCCCGCGAGCCCCTTTGAGACGGATGGGATCCCAATTCAAATTTGAGGGAGACGTAGTGCCTTTTCAGCCCTGTAGTTGGCCCTCCAAATGAAGCGAATCGAGATGCAGACTTTCTATCGAGTGTTTCCCAAAACTCTCATAACGGTCTGCGACCCAACCCTGAAGAGTAGCTTCAAGAATAATGGCTGACAAAAATACAAGGATGGAAGCAAATGTAAGTCATTATAACTTCATGATTAATCATGCAAAAAATGTACAGTTAAGAGAAATATGTTAGTTAATGTAGAGAGAAACGATTACGCATGTTTTTTGTCATAAAGTACATTTACGAAAGTCGCTAACAGTAGCCAGCTAGCTATACATTTAGCTTGCTATATGGGTGTTTGACATTGCATGAATTGTAATTTGTGTTATTTGATGTTTTAGGGACTCCTGAGCAAACTAACAAACCTGGCTGTCATCTTGTGAAACCCAGTGGATGTAAAAAAAAAATCTAGCTAAAGCATTTACTGCAAATGTAATAAACTGTCAATCACTTGTCTTTGTTCTTTATTGTAGGAACGCTAACTTTAGACATTGAAGATTTTGTCATGTAATAAAGCAGAAGTAACGTAGCTAATTATTTTCTTGCATATTGTGTAGTGGAGGATAAATAGGCCTGTAGCTATGTAGAGTGGGGAGAACAAGTATTTGATTCACTGCCGATTTTGCAGGCTTTCCTACTTACAAAGCATGTAGAGGTCTGTAATTTTTATCATAGGTACACTTCAACGGTGAGAGACGGAATCTAAAACAAAAATCCAGAAAATCACATTGTATGATTTTTAAGTAATTAATTTGCATTTTATTGCATGACATCAGTATTTGATACATCAGAAAAGCAGAACTTAATATTTGGTACAGAAACCTTTGTTTGCAATTACAGAAATCATACATTTCCTGTAGGCCTTGACCAGGTTTGCACACATTGCAGCAGGGATTATGGCCCACTCCTCCATACAGACCTTCTCCAGATCCTTCAGGTTTCGGGGCTGTCGCTGGGCAATACGGACTTTCAGCTCCTTCCAAAGATTTTATATTGGGTTCAGGTCTGGAGACTGGCTAGGCCACTCCAGGACCTTGAGATGCTTCTTACGGAGCCACTCCTTAGTTGCCCTGGCTGTATATTTCGGGTCGTTGTCATGCTGGAAGACCCAGCCACGACCCATCTTCAATGCTCTTAATGAGGGAAGGAGGTTGTTGGCCAAGATCTCGCGATACATGGCCCCATCCATCCTCCCCTTAATACGGTGCAGTCGTCCTGTCCCTTTTGCAGAAAAGCATCCCCAAAGAATGATGTTTCCATCTCCATGCTTCATGGTTGGGATGGTGTTCTTGGGGTTGTACTCATCCTTCTTCTTCCTCCTAACACGCCGAGTGGAGTTTAGACCAAAAAGCTCTATTTTTGTCTCATCAGACCACATGACCTTCTCCCATTCCTCCTCTGGATCATCCAGATGGTAATTGGCAAAGTTCAGACAGGCCTGGACATGCGCTGGCTTGAGCAGGGGGACCTTGCATGCGCTGCAGGATTTTAATCCATGACGGCGTAGTGTGTTACTAATGGTTTTCTTTGAGACTGTGGTCCCAGCTCTCTTCAGGTCATTGACCAGGTCCTGCCGTGTAGTTCTGGGCTGATCCCTCACCTTCCTCATGATCATTGATGCCCCACGAGGTGAGATCTTGCATGGAGCCCCAGACTGAGGGTGATTGACCGTCATCTTGAACTTCTTCCATTTTCTAATAATTGCGCCAACAGTTGTTGCCTTCTCACCAAGCTGCTTGCCTATTGTCCTGTAGCCCATCCCAACCTTGTGCAGGTCTATACTTTTATCCCTGATGTCCTTACACAGCTCTCTGGTCTTGGCCATTGTGGAGAGGTTGGAGTCTGTTTGAATGAGTGTGTGGACAGGTGTCTTTTATACAGGTAACGAGTTCAAACAGGTGCAGTTAATACAGGTAATGAGTGGAGAACAGGAAAGCTTCTTAAAGAAAAACTAACAGGTCTGTGAGAGCCGGAATTCTTACTGGTTGGTAGGTGATCAAATACTTATGTCATGCAATAAAATGCAAATTAATTACTTAAAAATCATACAATGTGATTTTCTGGATTTTCTACATGCTTTGTAAGTAGGAAAACCAGAAAAATCGGCAGTGTATCAAATACTTGTTCTCCCCACTGTAGCCTGTATGGACCCTAAAACGTTTGGTATATTAGTTCAGAACAGTAGTTTAAATTGCTTCCACTGGTTAATCATTAATCCCCAAGAAATTGCAGAAAATGACTGAGTGAAGGAAATGAGACTGTTACATTTCAAACTGCTACTACAATCAGAGGAATGGTACATTACGGATACACTGTTTTTCAGTTCTCATTTGTTGCTCATATGGTAAGTACATTTTTGTTGCATGAGAAATATAAGGAAAGCCATTACTGCCGCCAGTACAGGCATTGTGAAAAACACAAGGCTCGTTGTCAATAAATTGCATGGTAAGCTATCCTTTGGCCGCTTCTGCTGTTTGTGAGTGATTTAATAATGTCCCATTCCATAGGGTTATTTATCTCTCCCTACCACCGTTTTCAAGGGACACTCCCCCACTGAGGGACATTTGAAAATGAGGGGGAGGGATTGGGGGAGAACAAGGACTGAATAGGGACTTCTTGATATAAAGCAGTAATGTGAACAGATAAAAACCTACATGCTTGACCTTTCTCTTCACTTCAAAGCCAGCAACATGATTTCCCCTCATGATGCATGCACACTTCTGGAACACCTGATAACATATTTTTAACACTGTATTAGCCATTTTTCAAAATCTGACACATTTCTTCTAAGAAAAAGTACAAATTACAAGTCCATGTCAAAACGTACCTTACCCCTTTGTGCTTAGTTTAAGTATAAATTATAATGGACATACATTCATACAGTTTCTTGACTGTCCAGCTCGCTAATAATCACTGAAATGAAAGCTAGACAGTCAGGGAGCATAGATAGAAGACTATTTTTTGAGAATTTTGACAGCAAGGAAATATAACACATTTTCTGTGCAGCCCTCCAGTCCTTGCTGAAAACCGAATGCGGCCCTCTGAGAAAAATGAGTTTGACAACCCTTGTTTAAGCTATTATAAGTTATATAACTTACCTTACTTAAAGAAAGCAAAAGAAAGGGAATATAAGACGATAGAACATGCGCAAGGGAATGAGAGACAAAACATGATGATGCAACTTACCCACTGTGACTATTTCCACCAATTTGTCTGTCCATTTGAGCCAAAGGTTAGGGCCTCAACCCTAGCCATAACCTCCACCCTAATCCAATTAACAAATAATTAATTAGCTCCTCCCCCCACTGGGTGATATAAATATTGACTGGCTTTCATCAGGCAGCCCACTCAAGAGAAAGCTTCAAACTGTAACTAGTGACTGAAACCTGGTTCAGGTTATCAGTCAACCTACCAGGGTAGCTAGAAACAGCACAGGCATGAAATAATCAACATGTATTGATGACATCTTTACTAATGCTGCAGAAGATTAGCTTGAAAGTATTATCCAAATACATCGGATGTAGTGATCACAATATAGTAGCCATATCTAGGAAACCAAAGTATCAAAGGCAGGGCGTAATACAGTGTACAGCACCAGTCAAAGGTTTGGACACACCTACTAATTGAAGGGTTTTTCTTTATTTTTACTATTTTCTACACGAATAATCTACACGAATAATAGTGAAGATATCAAAACTATGAAATAACACATGTGGAATCATGTAGTAACCAAAAAAGTTTTAAACAAATCAAAATATATTTTATATTTGAGATTCTTCGAAGTAGCCACCCTTTGCGCGCGCGCTGCATCATTCATGGGGGACGACATGTTTACTGTTGCCTTGTTGAAATGTACAGCAAACCTTACCATTTTCACATGTGAGTTCCTAATATCTCTAATGGTCCCCCCAGCATGCGTTTCTTTATGCGCGTGATGTCAGAATGCACTCACTGTTCCAAAACAGTTACGCAACAAGACAGTTAACCCAGACTGCCCTCAAACCAAGGCATGCTGCCTGCTAAATATCTATAAGCTATGTTTCAACTCGTCAATTTCAAATTATTTTCTAACAAGTAATATTTTCTAAAAACAGTTTGAAAATAGGGTGTGTTCCGCCTCCTCATTAATTCACATAGAAGTAGCCCTTTTCAGTGTTGCGGACAATTTATGTTTGAGGCTTTACTGAGCCGGACACACTTCTCTCTTCAATGAGAGCCCAAGCATTTCCCCAGTGTAACCCCAGGTCAGGTATGCCAACATTTGCACATCTCCAGTCAGAACAGAACTTGCATGAACTTTTTCCCCCTGACACATTTTCTATCTGGCGTCCACATGGCATTCATTGATGTTTTCCTTACCAATAATAACTTTGGACATGTGTGCATTCCTATCAAAGTAAGTGCCTTATTACGTTATCATAATAGTTTCTGTATATCGTGTTATGTCGTTTCTACTGTAGCACACTGTATCTATGTATGGAGAATAATGCATTCTGTGTGTATTCCTTTATAACCGCAGACATGCAAGGTACTAATTTCATGACCTTTATGGTGTTATACTCAATTGTGCTTATGTACAGTGAGGGAAAAAAGTATTTGATCCCCTGCTGATTTTGGACGTTTGCCCACTGACAAAGTAATGATCAGTCTATAATTTTAATGGTAGGTTTATTTGAACAGTGAGAGACAGAATAACAACAACAAAATCCAGAAAAAAACTTTTAAAAAATGTTATAAATTGATTTGCATTTTAATGAGGGAAATAAGTATTTGACCCCCTCTCAATCAGAAAGATTTCTGGCTCCCAGGTGTCTTTTATACAGGTAACGAGCTGAAATTAGGAGCACACTCTTAAAGGGAGTGCTCCTAATCTAAGCTTGTTACCTGTATAAAAGACACCTGTCCACAGAAGCAATCAATCAATCAGATTCCAAACTCTCCAACATGGCCAAGACCAAAAAGCTCTCCAAGGATGTCAGGGACAAGATTGTAGACCTACACAAGGCTGGAATGGGCTAAAAGACCATCGCCTAGCAGCTCGGTGAGAAGGTGACAACAGCTGGTGCGATTATTCGCAACTAGAAGAAACACAAAATAACTGTCCATCTCCCTAGGCCTGGGGCGCCATGCAAGATCTCACCTCGTGGAGTTGCAATGATCATGAGAACAGTGAGGAATCATCCATGAACTACGCGGGAGGATCTTGTCAATGATCTCAAGGCAGCTGGGACCATAGTCACCAAGAAAACAATTGGTAACACACTACGCCATGAAGGACTGAAATCCTGCAGCGCCCTCATGGTCCCCCTGCTCAAGAAAGCACATATACAGGGCTGTCTGAAGTTTGCCAATGAACATCTGAATGATTCAGAGGAGATCTTGGTGAAAGTGTTGTGATCAGATGACACCAAAACCGAGCTCTTTGGCATCAACTCAACTCGCCGTGTTTGGAGGAGGAGGAATGCTGCCTGTGACCATAAGAACACCATCCCCACCATCAAACATGGAGGTGGAAACATTATGCTTTGGGGGTGTTTTTCTGCTAAGGGGACAGGACAACTTCACCACATCAAAGGGACGATGGACGGGGCCATGTACCGTCAAATCTTGGGTGAGAACCTCGTTCCCTCAGCCAGGGTATTGAAAATGGGTTGTGGATGGGTATTCCAGCATGACAATGACCCAAAACACACGGCCAAGGCAACAAAGGAGTGGCTCAAGAAGAGGAACATTAAGGTCCTGGAGTGGCCTAGCCAGTCTCCAGACCTTAATCCCATAGAAAATCTGTGGAGGCAGCTGAAGATTCGAGTTGCCAAATGTCAGCCTCGAAACCTTAATGACTTGGAGAAGATCTGCAAAGAGGAGTGGAACAAAATCCCACCTGAGATGTGTGCAAACCTGGTGGCCAACTACAAGAAACGTCTGACCTCTGTGATTTCCAACAAGGGTTTTGCCACCAAGTACTAAGTCATGTTTTGCAGAGGGGTCAAATACTTATTTCACTCATTAAAATGCAAATCAATTTATAACATTTTTGACATGCGTTTTTCTAGATTTTTTTGTTATTATTCTGTCTCTCACTGTTCAAATAAACCTACCATTAAAATTATAGACTGATCATGTCTTTGTCAGTGGGCAAACGTACAAAATCAGCAGGCGATCAAATACTTTTTTCCCTCACTGTATGTACAGCTGCGGAAAAAAATAAGAGACCACTGCAAAATTATCAGTTTCTCTGGTTTTACTTTTAATAGGTATGCGTTTGGGTAAAAATAAATTTTTTGTTTTATTCTATAATCTACTGACAACATTTCTCCCAAATTCCCAAAAACATTTTTGTAATTTAGAGCATTTATTTGCAGAAAATGACAACTGGTCAAAATAACAAAAAATATGCTGTGTTGTCAGACCTCGAATAATGCAAAGAAAATAAGTTCATGTTCATTTTTAAACAACACAATAGTAATGTTTTAATTTAGGTAGAGTTCAGAAATCAAAATTTGTGGAATAACCCTGATTTTCAATCACAGCTTTCATGTGTCTTGGCATGCTCTCCACCAGTTTTTCTCATTGATGTTGGGTGACTTCATGCCACTCCTGGCACAAAAATTCAAGCAGCTCGGCTTTGTTTGATGGCTTGTGACCATCCATCTTCCTCTTGATCACATTCCATACGTTTTCAATGGCGTTCAGGTCTGGAGATTGGGCTGGCCATGACAGGATCTGGTGGTCCTCCATCCACACCTTGATTGACCTGGCTGTGTGGCATGGCACATTGTCCTGCTGGAAAAACCAATCCTCAGAGTTGGGGGACAATGTCATAGCAAAAGGAAGCAAGTTTTCTTCCAGGACAACCTTGTGCGTGGCTTGATTCATGCTTTCTTCACAAAGACAAATCCGCCCGTTTCCAGACTTGCTGAAGCACCCCCAGATCATCACCGATCCTCCACCAAATTTCACAGTGGATATGATACACTATGGCTTGTAGGCCTCTCCAGGTCTCTGTCTAACCATTAGACAACCAGGTGTTGGGCAAAGCTGAAAATTGGACTCATCAGAGAAGATGACCTTACTTCAGTCCTCTACGGTCCAATCCTTATGGTCTTTTGCAAATCTGAGCCTGGCTCTTCTTTGCTTCTCATTGATGAAGGGCTTTTTCTAGCTTTGCACGACTTCAGCCCTGCCCCTAGGAGCCTGTTTCGAACCGTCCTAGCCGTGCACTTCACCCCAGCTGCCGTTTGCCATTCTTTTTGTAGGTCACTTGATGTCATCCTACGGTTGTTGAGTGACATTCAAATGAGTTGGCGGTCATCCCGGTCCGTAGCTTTGTTGTCTCTAATGTCTGCTGCTTGACCTTGTTCTTATGAACCGCCGTCTTTGAAATGTTAAGGATGGAAGCAACCTGACGCTCACTGTATCCCTCTGCCAGTAAAGCCATAATTGAACCCTTCTTTTCCTCACTCAAAACATTCATTTTCAACTCTTTTGGCATGGTCAATAGTTATTTTTTGATTAATATTACTATTGAGGTACTATTAGCACTGTTTTTGCCAGCCAGCTGGTCCTATTGCAAGAGGATAGTGATGACCACAGCAGTAGTTTTTATACTTTTCCTCGTTAAATAATATTTGGTTAATGTGATCACCTAATCAGTACCTCATTCAGTATTTATTTTTTTACGTCATTTAGCAGACGCTCTTATCCAGAGCGACTTACAGTTAGTGCATACATTTTATTTTTTAATTTTTATACTGGCCCCGCGTGGGAATCGAACCCACAACCCTGGCGTTGCAAACACCATGCTCTAACAACTGAGCTACCTCCCTGCCGGCCATTCCCTCCCCTACCCTAGACGACGCTGGGCCAATTGTGCGCCGCCCCATTGGTCTCCCGGTTGCGGCCGGCTACGACAGAGCCTGGATTCGAACCAGGATCTCTAGTGGCACAGCTAGCACTGCGATGCAGTGCCTTAGACCACAGGCACACTCAGTAGAATGAGGTGTGCCTGTGTTGGAATTCAACATACACTGGAATGGAATGGCTGTCATACATGTAGAGATACTGATTTAAGAAAAATTTGCAGTGGTCTATTATTATTTCCACAGCTGTATATATATATATATATATATATATATATATATATATATATATATATATATATATATATATATATATATATATATACAGTGGGGAGAACAAGTGTTTGATACACTCACTGCCGATTTTGCAGGTTTTCCTACTTACAAAGCATGTAGAGGTTTGTAATTTTTATCATAGGTACACTTTAACTGTGAGAGACGGAATCTAAAACACAAATCCAGAAAATCACATTGTATGATTTTTAAGTAATTAATTTGCATTTTATTGCATGACATAAATATTTGATACATCAGAAAAGCAGAACTTAATATTTGGTACAGAAACCTTTGTTTGCAATTACAGAGATCATACATTTCCTGTAGGTCTTGACCAGGTTTGCACACACTGCAGCAGGGATTTTGGCCCACTCCTCCATACAGACCTTCTCCAGATCCTTCAGGTTTCGGGGCTGTCGCTGGGCAATACGGACTTTCAGCTCCCTCCAAAGATTTTCTATTGGGTTCAGGTCTGGAGACTGGCTAGGCCACTCCAGGACCTTGACATGCTTCTTACAAACCCACACCTTAGTTGCCCTGGCTGTGTGTTTCGGGTCGTTGTCATGCTGGAAGACCCAGCCACGACCCATCTTCAATGCTCTTACTGAGGGAAGGAGGTTGTTGGACAAGATCTCGCGATACATGGCCCCATCCATCCTCCCCTCAATATGGTGCAGTCGTCCTGTCCCCTTTGCAGAAAAGCATCCCCAAAGAATGATTTTTCCACCTCCATGCTTCACGGTTGGGATGGTGTTCTTGGGGTTGTACTCATCCTTCTTCTTCCTCCAAACACGCCGAGTGGAGTTTAGACCAAAAAGCTATATTTTTGTCTCATCAGACCACATGACCTTCTCCCATTCCTCCTCTGGATCATCCAGATGGTCATTGGCAAACTTCAGACGGGCCTGGACATGCGCTGGCTTGAGCAGGGGGACCTTGCGTGCGCTGCAGGATTTTAATCCATGATGGCGTAATGTGTAACTAATGGTTTTCGTTGAGACTGTGGTCCCAGCTCTCTTCAGGTCATTGACCAGGTCCTGCCGTGTAGTTCTGGGCTGATCCCTCACCTTCCTCATGATCATTGATGCCCCACGAGGTGAGATCTTGCATGGAGCCCCAGACCGAGGGTGATTGACCGTCATCTTGAACTTGTTCCATTTTGTAATGATTGCGCCAACTGTTGTTGCCTTCTCACCAAGCTGCTTGCCTATTGTCCTGTGGCCCATCCCAGCCTTGTGCAGATCTACAATTTTATCCCTGATGTCCCTACACAGCTCTCTGGTCTTGGCCATTGTGGAGAGGTTGGAGTCTGTTTGACTGAGTGTGTGGACAGGTGTCTTTTATACAGGTAACGAGTTCAAACAGGTGCAGTTAATACAGGTAATGAGTGGAGAACAGGAGGGCTTCTTAAAGAAAAACTAACAGGTCTGTGAGAGCCGGAATTCTTACTGGTTGTATGTCATGCAATAAAATGCAAATGAATTACTTAAAAATCATACAATCAACAAAAATTACAGACCTCTACATGCTTTGTAAGTAGGAAAACCTGCAAAATCGGCAGTGTATCAAAAACTTGTTCTCCCCACTGTGTGTTTATATACATATATATATATATATATATATATATACACATACATCTACACATACATACATGTAAATACATATCCTTTAAAAAAATATATTTCCCTTTATTACTTTCCAACCTCACCACCCCTTCCCTAATTGGAGTAAACTAGTGAACAACAATGCTTAGGCCTCTACTTCCAGCTTATACATACTATAAACATTTTATGGACACAGTCAATTTGACAATAATTATATTTTGTTTGTTTTTCTCATGAACTTCCTCTACCCTCAACCTCTCCGATCATTTTCATGATCTCCATCTGGTTTGCTTCTATATGCCATATCTTTCTAACTGTGCTCTTTCACAAAAGCTCTCAACCTATAGCCTATATACTTATTATGGACACAGTATGCTTTATATTAGTTATCTTGTTTTTATTAGTCGTTGTTAGTTGTTATTAGTCCCATCCTTCAACTCCATTCAACACCACCCATCTATCTCTTAACACCATCCATATTGGATTTCTATTTGCCATGTATTTTTCAACTGTACTGTGATGTTTTACAAAAGTTCTGAACCCTTCTATTCTCATTGTTTCTACAGATTGTAAATTGAAAATAAACATGTTTGCTAAAAGTGTTATTATATTATTGATCGATTGACAATGATTTTTCAGATCACCCAGGGTTAGCTCCAAGTAAATATTGCAATCCTTTAGTCATTCCTGGACCTGTGTCCAAAAACAAGCTACTTATGGACAGTACCAAAACAAATGATCTAATGATTCTGTCTCTTTGCAGCAAAATCTGCAGAGCTGATAAGATTGTATCTCCCATAAAAATAACATTCTATTGGTAGCAATAATTGTATATAATAATTTAAATTGAACAATTCGAAGTTTTGAATCCGGCGTCATTTTGCGCATCAGTTCATAAGCACTATGCCATGGCTGTTGCACCTTCTTCACCACACAGTCAGTGATGTGTACGCCAAGGAACTTGAAACTTTCCACCTACCCACTGCGGTCCCGTCGATGTGGTTAGGGGCATGCCCCCTCTGCTGTTTCCTGAAGTCCACGTACCAACACATCCTCCGAGAGCGACTTCTCCCAACCATTCAAGAACAGTTTGTTGATGAAAAATGCCATTTCCAGCATGATGGAGCACCTTGCCATGAGGCATAAGTGATGACAGCATGCCAGGGCGGATTGCAGAGGTCTTGAAAAAGAAGGTTCAACACTGCAAATATTTACTCTCTGCATAAACATAATGGCATTGTCAATAAAAGCCTTTGACACTTATGGAATGCTTGTAATTATACTTCTGTATACCATAGTAACATCTGACAAAAACATCTAAAAACACTGAAGCAGCAAACTTTGTGAAGACCAATACTTGTGTCATTCTCAAAACTTTTGACCACGACTGTATGCCAGTTAGGCTCTACACCGATTTGTAAAGCGGATGAATATGCTTAATTTTAAGAAGTTCTTTGGCAACTATAGCTATGATACAAATCTTATCAAAACATATAGGCTACATTAGATTTGAAAAAGTTGCCAAAAAAAGGCATGCGCTGTGTTTGATTATATTCTCTAAAACATTTGCATCGATGTCAGAGTGATTAGAGGGACAATAGAGTGCTGAGTAACAGGCAGTTAGCAAGTTTGGTAGGCTACTAATGACCATCAGCAGCATCATAGCTTGTAGAAGCCTAGTTACCGTGACTAAATGGTGACGTAGAATGTGACTGCGGTCATTAGTAGGTGTGGCAGTAACATGGTCACCGCAACAGCCCTAGTCTGAATTCCTCCCATAATGCACAGTACACTCACTTGCACACATGCACAAACACACAAAGACACACACAAGTAAGGATAAACAGTACAGTCCCTTTCCCACATGAATGTGCACGCACGCACACACACACGCACGCACACACACACACACGCACACACACACACACCCTCCTTCACTCCTCCCGTTCCCGTAATAGAGAGTTGTTGTAATCTCAGTCCTGCGTTGCCCTCCCTGGGGCCCTGTTGGCCTTTACTGTGCGTAGGGCCACCACTCCCCTCACATTTTCATTAGAACCCCCCCCCCCCCCACCGCCCACAGTAAGAGAGTGCCCCACCAACCTGAAACTCGAGCCCTTACACTACCACTCTCCCCTGGTTATGATGTATGGCCCTAACCCAGGCCCTCTCCGCCTGTCCATCAAGGCCTGCCATTAAAACACCGGAATGACCAACATTTTTCTCTCCTCTTATCCCCCACTCCAATCCACCCCTCTGTTCTCTGTAACCTCCTGCCCCTTCACCCTCCACCCTCCACCCAGCACTCCTCCACTCTTCCCTCACCTCCCCACTCCATAACACCCACCTCAAACACCACCATCCATTTACACGTGAAAAACATTTTATTCTGTACTTCCCAGATCATTTACTTTTCCCCCCTTCTTATCTCCCTCTCCTTCCTCTTTCTCTCTTTTATTTTTTATTCCCTCTCTCTATACAGGAATTTTCCATTTCCCTATTAAATAAAAATTCATCTGGAATTACATCTTATGTCATCATTATGTTTATTAGGCGTGGATGATGTATATGAGGAGCTGTGGCGTGCCGCTGAGTGCTTAATGATGCATAAGATTAAGCCGAGCCTCTCAGCTGTGCTGAGACTCCCCTCTGCTTCTCAGGCTGCAGACATATGCGGGGGGAACAGGCTCCAATGGCCATCAGGTGAACCAGGCAGTGAGAAAGGGAGAGATGGAGGGAGGGAGGCACAACTCTTTGTGTGGGAGAGAGGGAAGGGAAGAGAAAGTGTGTGTCGTGAGGGACAGAGATTGAAAGAGGAATCTGTATTTATATGTACACATAAGTGTATGTCTTTGTAGCAGTCTCTCTATGTGTGTGATTTAGGGGAGGGGGTTGAGAATCATATTATCAGAGTGTCGACATTGATTAAATACTGTAGACATTCTCTACAATAACTGTTACCCGCTCCCTCGTGCCTCCCTTCAGATTCCATACCTCCCACATTCTCTCTCTCTCTCTCTCTCTCTCTCTCTCTCTCTCTCTCTCTCTCTCTCTCTCTCTCTCGCACAGCAGCAGTCTATGACAAAAACATTATTCTTCTGGTTCTAAACAATTCAATAAACCTCTCCACAGGGAAGAAGTTAACCTCTCTTCTTTGATGGAGCCCTCCACAACTATGTGATGGCTGCCACAGTAAATCCAAATAATTAGTCTTCTCAACCTGTGCCATCAGAGGGAGAGAAAAAAAACATCACTATTAGTAATGGAGAACTCGTCAGAGACCTTCCTCAGAGAGCCCAGCCTTCCCAATTCCCAGAAGAAAAATCCACAGCGAAAAACAAATTCTACTTTTAATAATCTGTCATCAGGACCAGAGGTAGTCATAAATTATGTTGTGGAGCATGTGCGGGAACAAGTGGCGGGAGGGAACACGAGGAGAAATCAAAGCTAAAGTTAGCTGAAGATAAAACAGGATTAGTTGTAAAGTCTTGGATGAGCGTGCTGCCGAATGGTTCTCCTACCGCTTCCTATGCTGAATGAAGAATTGACCAACACACCTGTCATTAGTCTCTACCTCTCCTCCTTCCTCCCTCTTTCTCTCTTTCTCAAGTCCCCTTCGCTCCTCCATCATAGTCACCATATAACCACCTCTTTTATTATCCCAGCAAACATTGTTTCGATTTTGTTAATGAGTTGGTTAAGACAGGTGAAGAGAGTATCTGCTGAAAAAAACAGCATAGACCAGCATTTGCTGGTCACTAGAGATGCTATGTTTGATACCGGAGCTCCGAGGCATGCGTCAAAATCGCAAAACAGTTTACAATCGAAGCAGTGTGCCGATGCTTGTATCACTTTATCAGAATCCCATGATCAATGACATCCGAAGCTTCGTTTCGTGGAACAACCACCTGATTGGTTTGGTATTGGCTTCGGTAGAAGACAAAAAGGCTACCCTGCCTACGCGCTACGGCGTGTGGGACTTCATAATAATTTGGCTGCTCTAAATTATTTTGACCAGCAGGTGCCACTAGTGTACACTGTTTTGATCAAAGTCTTCAGTAATGAACCTATTTTTGACAAAATTGGCTGGATATTCTCAAAGCTTCAAGAAGCTTTGTTTCCCCATCACTACTGGTCACCTGCAAAACCAGCATTGTCACATAATGCTGGCTTGCAGAGTGATGTCTAATTCCTATTGGAATCCAACCTGAGTGGGAATAGCCAACAATTTGAACTTTTATTCACCCAAAATCTGCATTCCGAATGACTGCTAGTGTTAGATGTATACAGTGCCTTGCAAAAGTATTTATCCACCTTGGCGTTTTTCCTATTTTGTTGCATTAAAAAGTGTAATTAAAATGGATTTTTATTTGGATTTCATGTAATGGACACACACAAAATTGTCCAAATTGGTGAAGTGAAATAAAATAAAATAAACTTGTTTCAAAGAATTCTAAAAAATAAATAACTGAAAAGTGGTGCATGCATATGTATTTAACCCCTTTGCTATGAAGCCCCTAAATAAGATATGGTACAACCAATTACCTTCAAAAGTCACATAAGTAGTTAAATAAAGTCCACCTGTGTGCAATCTAAGCGTCACATGATCTGTCACATGATCTCAGTATATATACACCTGTTCTGAAAGGTCCCAGAGTCTGCAACACCACTAAGCAAGGGGCACCACCAAGCAAGTGGCACCATGAAGACCAAGGAGCTCTCCAAACAGGTCAGAGACAAAGTTGTTGAGAAGTACAGATCAGGGTTGGGTTACAAAAAAATATCTGAAACTTTGAACATCCCACGGAGCACCATTAAATCCATTACTAGAAAATGGAAAGCATATGGCACCACAACAAACCTGCCAAGAGAGGGCTGCCCACCAAAACTCACGAACCAGGCAAGGAGGGCATTAATCAGAGAGGCAACAAAGAGACCAAAGATAACCCTGAAGGAGCTGCAAAGCTCCACAGCGGAGATTGGAGTATCTGTCCATAGGACCACTTTAAGCCGTACACGCCACAGAGCTGGGCTTTACGGAAGAGTGGCCAGAAAAAAACCATTGCTTAAAGAAAAGAATAAGCAAACACGTTTGGTGTTTGCCAAAAGGCATGTGGGAGACTCCCCAAATATATGGAAGAAGGCACTCTGGTCAGATGAGACTAAAATTGAGCTTTTTGGCCATCAAGGAAAACGCTATATTTGGTGCAAACCCAACACCTGTCATCACCCCGAGAACACCATCATGCTGTGGGGATGTTTTTCATCGGCAGGGACTGGGAAACTGGTCAAAATTGAATGAATGATGGATGGTGCTAAATACAGGGAAATTATTGAGGGAAACCTGTTTCAGTCTTCCAGAGATTTGACTGAGACTGAGGTTCACCTTCCAGCAGGACAATGACCCTAAGCATACTGCTAAAGCAACACTTGAGTGGTTTAAGGAAACATTTAAATGTCTTGGAATGGCCTAGTCAAAGCCCAGACCTCAATCCAATTGAGAATCTGTGGTATGACTTAAAGATTGCGGTACACCAGCGGAACCCATTCAACTTAAAGGAGCTGGAGCAGTTTTGCCTTGAAGAATGGGCAAAAATCCCAGTGGCTAGATGTTCCAAGCTTATAGAGACAAAACCCAAGTTACTTGCAGGATTAATTGCTGCAAAAGGTGGGGGGGGGGGTGAACAACCATTTCAGTAACGGGTGCAATATGTCAAACTAACAGATTGGATTAGTTTTGAAAAAAATGTTATTTATCTTTGTGTAGCGTAAGATAAATTAATCAAATCAAATGTTATTTGTCACATGTGCCGAATACAACAACCTTACCGTGAAATGCTTAATTACAAGCCTTTAACCAACAATGCCGTTTTAAGAAAATAGAGTTAAGAAAATATTTACAAAAAAACTAAAAATATATAAGTAACACAATAAAATAACAATAATGACGCTATATACAGTGGGTACCAGTACCAAGTCAATATGCTGGGGTACAGGTTAGTTGAGGTAATTTGTATGGATACAGTGCCTTCTGAAAGTTTTCAGACCCCTTGACTTTTTACACATTTTGTTATGTTACAGCCTTATTCTAAAAAACATTTATATATATATATATATATATATATATATATATATATATATATATATATATATATATATATATATCCTCAGCAATCTAAACAATATACCTCATAATGACAAAGCGAAAACAGGTTTTTAGATTTTTTAGAAGAAAAAAAAACAAACAAACAAAAAAAACATAATTACATAAGTATTCAGACCCTTTGCTATGAGACTCGAAATTGAACAGGTGCATCCTGTTTCCATTGATCATCCTTGATGTTTCTACAACTTGATTGGAGTCCACTTGTGGTGAATTCAACTGATTGGACATGATTTGGAAAGGATCACACCTGTCTATGTAAGGTCCCAAAGTTGACAGTGCATGTCAGAGCAAAAACCAAACCATGAGGTCGAAGGAATTGTCCGTAGAGCTCCGAGACAGGATTGTGACGAGGCACATATCTGAGGAAGGGTACCAAAACATTTCAGCAGCATTGAAGGTCCCCAAGAACACAGTGGCCTCATCATTCTTAAATGGAAGAACTTTGGAACCACCAAGACAAAGACTATGCAGCTGCGTTAGACAAGATGGCATATTGAATAGAAAGCGGTACAAACCACCTCAAGATAAAAACATAATATTCAATATCAGTAAGTTAAATATCAGTCAAAATCAGTGAGTTAACTAAATATTAGCATTTCATATATTCGTAGTTAATAAAATTCAATCTGGATAATAACACAAAACAAATCATAAGGCTAGAGAAATATATCGACAAATATTACAACAACACGCAACACCCAAACATGGCGGAAGATAAACGGGGAGAACCAATCTCCAAGAGAAAACGCGACTCGTCGACTGATACAGACTGATACAGATGTGGAAAGCGACCTGTTGAAGTCGATAAATGACAAATTGGGCATACTAGAAGTGGTCAGTAAGGACGTAAAAGAGTTGAAAGCGAGTCTTGAAATGAGTGACGAAAAAGCTGCGATAATGGAGAAAGAAACCAAAAAAATTAAAAGTGACAATCACTAAGATGGAAATGGACGTTAGGGAACTTAAAAAGGAGAACAACCTTCTGAGAGAAACCTTACTAGACATCCAAACTAGATCGATGAGAGAAAATCTAGTACTTACGGGTATTCTGGAAAAGGAGAAATAACCGAGAATATTAGGAAGGATTTCCTGCATACAGCGCTTCAAATCCCACTCGAGGCTGTCGATAAAATCCAACTCGAACGTGTACACCGTTTCGGACAAAGAGGACAGAGATATGAGCACCAAATTGCTGCCAAATTTGCATTTTTTAAGGATAAAGCAATGGTTAAAAGCCTAGGTAAAAGACTTGCTGGCACGAAAATAGGCATGAAAGATCAGTTCCCGAGGGAGATTGCAGAAAGGCGCAAAGTTCTGTATCCAATCTTCAAGGAAAATAGATTAAAAGGGAAACGTGTTGCACTTGTTGTCGATAAACTGTATATTGACAACCAAATGTTCTGAGACACAAAGACTACTCCATTGCTATTCTAAAAGTTGTAATAGAGGAGTCGAATAATGGAATACCCAGTACTAGCAATGATAGGGATTGTAATATTAAAGAACATTTATGGTAAGTATAGTATTTTATAAAAGGATAAAACGATATAACAAGAAAAGATAACAAGCAGAATAATACATCTTCAAATACAACTAATTAGAACATGGCATTTT